ACAGTATATATTTTTATGATATATAATATTATATATTTTTATCTCTTTCTCTCTCTCTTTTTCTCTCTCTCTCTCTCTCTCTCTCTCTCTTTATTTTTACTACTGGCTTTTCCCATTGGTAACAAAATATACACTTACCAGTAGAAATTCACAGCAAGACACGTACATTATGTCGAAAAAAGAACACAATTATGAAACAAGATTCGTCTAATCATTGTGTAAGTTTAATTGTTAGCGTAACAACGATGCGCGGGGAAAGTCTATGGAGTGTCCGTGGGTGGTAGATATTCATAACCAATCTCACAATCGTTTCAGTAATTCGAATCGTCGCAATGATCGACAGAACGGTAATTAAGTGTTTTCGCGAAGTGGAACACATTATACGAGAAAGAGAATAATGCGGCACACGCCTTCTCGCATATCTGCTCTCACGTGATTCACTTTAAGTACAAGGACGAACGTTTGTGCGGGATGCGAGATGAAGAACAAGGTAATCGCGAAAATTGTACGATGCGAGAAACTTGGATTATTATGAATTGATTACTAACTAATGCGAACAATATTATCATCGCGTTGAATATTCAAGAAATAAGGTCTTCCGAGACATCATGTATACTTTTTATCATTAATCTATGTTTATTTTATTAAATATGCATTTAAACGTTGCAATCATAGTGCGGAACGTATCGCGAAGAATCCTCGCGATTCACGAGGTGCAAACAAAGCCGCGGTTTGCGCAAGGAACCTGCGCGCGCGCAATCTTCGCAACCAGCAATGTGAACGGCGTGTATTTATATTTGATATAGGTGAGCAACAAAGGTCTGAAGATTATACAAACTGTTCATCCTGGTGGCTCGACGAGATCGGCAGTCAAACATTTGGTACCGGGTCACGCGGTGCTGGCAGCCGTACAGCGGGAAGACATCGTGGCCGCGACTTTGCTCCTGCCAAATCCAGCGACGAACAATCCCGTACATGTGCATGCATACAGGTTACTATATCAACTTAATATAACAGACTAACAAGAATTTAATATGTGTAATAAATTAAAGACTAAACTAAGAGAACTAAATTTTTAACACATTAACACATAATATTGATTAAATATCATATACAATAAGATTGAATGAAAATAAGATTTCAATTTTCGAGCTAATTAGCTTTGTTCTTTTTCCGTAGTCGGCCAAACACGTTCGAATCGCTCTTTCATTAATCAGGCAAGAATATAGAACTTTAAGAGCGTATAGAGATCTTTATTAAGAATGCAAATATAAATATGGGAATCTAAGATGCGACACGCTGTTTATTCATCAAGTCCGTGTCAGGAATTCGCGGTTAAACAGAAACCATTCAGTTCATCTCCTCGATCTCATTACGCGAGTCACGTTTCATTCTTTAATTAATGACTTTCGTAATTCTAACGGATCGTTAATGATTTTCATAATCCCGCGATGTTCACACGTAGCTCAGCTACGTTGCAGCAAAACTGCCATGCGAACGAATAAAAGCATTCGAAGCAATCTTGTTATTAAATTGCAAATTATCAGGGCAAATTATTAGTTCAACGATCTTCTTTACAGCGGCACGATAATTAAATTACGTTAAAAGTAATTATTTCAAGTTCAGAAGTGTCAAATGAATTTTATTTTATGCACGAAACTGCGGGAATAAAAATGAAGTTATAAAATATCGTTCCTTGAGAATCAATATCGATGGCAATTGTGAATGAGAATCGAAGTTTACCGCGAAGGCACACGATCTCTTTGACATGCTCAATGAAAGTCCCGTTAAAGAACATTTTGCTATGTCGAAGAGCTCGAACGAAATATTACAACTACACAATAATGTATTCTTCGTACCGACGACCTAAATGAGCAGCAGTTGCTGATCATTTTCTTGCTGGCAACGCAGATTATCATAAACTTACATCTATTTGTAATAATATGCGCATTTTCCACGTATTTTTTTATAAACAGAGCGACTTAATCTCACACTTTGTTGTACGTAGAAGTTTTATACCATATATTATCTACGCAATCTTATTTTGTCGCTGCTTTATTGTTTTTATATTTAATATAGCATACGTGCGTGCGATGTTACATAAAGGAAAACGGGGAAATTACAATTCTATCGCTATAGAGCCAACAGGATGAGATTACATTTATCTCTCATTTTACTCCTTTATTATTTTAATAAAGGCAAAACTTCGTTTATCTTTCGCCTTTTGACCCATTTTAGATGCGATTCGGTCGAAACCGCCGAATTGTTAGGTGGTCAGTTAAAAATACTAGCGTCACACACTGACAATTTGGCCAGGGTCACGGCGAGCGAAGGTAGAATCCGCAGCAATCTAGGTAGCGATGGCCGAAGTACCAGAGAATCTGAGTCTTCCGAAGGTAGCGGTGAGCTCAGACACGATCCGGTCCAAACTACGACTATCTATGAATCTTTGGCCGCCGAGTTGCGGGCAAAATTAGGTAAATATTATTTTTTTAGCATTGTTGCCATGTATTCATTACATTGATTATACAAGATTTCATTATACCGATATTGAAAAACAAATGGAATATTTGAAGAATACTATATAAAAGATTAAACAAAAAGGCATATTTTATATAAATAAATAAAAAAGGAAATACAAACGTAAAATACAATATAAATTAACACAATGTCATGGCTTATTTCGAGCTATAATTAAATTAATTTCAGATTAATATAATTAACAAACGTTTCGGCTTACAAAGCCTTCTTCAGTGCTACAATGCAGAGATGCAATCTTAAATTAACAGACAAAGAATAACGGATAATGAAAATTTAAAAATTATCTATGATAAAGTCTCAAAATATAAAAAAAATATAAAAAAATATTAAAAAATTCGAACAATAAGTATCCCGCCAAATGACAATAAGCTAGAAACATTTGGATATTTCAGTCAACAATATTAACAGATTAATTACGTTCATCGATAAGATAGATTTGCCAAATTCCTCGGTTGAGATCGAGAAAGTCTAGTTTGTCACAGGCTTATATCAAACGATTTGAGAATTCTTTAATTACGAGTATTTTATGATATTGGTAATTTATATAAAATATATAATTTATATGAAATATTGTAATCTAAACTGTCAATCAAAGATCTGATTAAGTACAATAAAAATACTTGGTCGTTTGAAAATTAACTGATATAATATACATAATTATTGACTAACAAATAAATTATAAGAACGAATGACAAACATCCGCGCGTGCATCATATGTGTCAAGGCAACGTGAGTACGAAGAAGATAATCGTGTTTCAGGCAGAGGCAATTCCGGCGAGAACGACGTCGGCCCAATATTACTACCGCCACGTGACTACGATACTGTGCACAGACATCACGGTAACTTAACCGGCATCGAGTTCAGACGTTGCCTAAATCAGACTATCGTGGGTGGTAGCACGACTGTTGATAGGGGTGGCACGAGAAGTGCAGCCAGCAGCGGCATAGGATCTGATAGCGCAGCGACGCCACCACCCTATCAAACGCACCATTCTCTTGGTCAGAGACCGTCTAGACCGTCTAGAGATTCCTCCTCCGGTGAGTGCCTTTTATAGTAAAGATTTGGTGCAATGATAAGCTAAATATTATAAGGACTGTCCAAGAAAAAATCTTCCCACACAAAAACTCACATATCCTCTAAACCACTTGACCGATTTTCAAAAGCAAACCCATTTTAGAAACATCTTTTAATTACAATTAAAACTATATTTTAAAAAATTCTTAAAAACTACTTTTGACAAAAATTTTTTATTTTTTCTGGAATCCCCTCCATCATACTTTTTATGGTGGTCTCGGTCTTCCTCGGATGCTCTCTTTCTTCGCTGTTTTTGGACTCTGAAAACTCTTTTTCCTTCCAGATCCTTCTTTACGGTTGATAGTCAAGTCTTCCTTGAAACGCCTATTGACACCGTTTTCCTGCAAACTCCCGCCTCCCGCGCGATTTGATTTGAAACTCCACTCCGGGTGTTATTGAAAAATTTTGATTATGGATTTGCGTGTTTCTACTTCACTTGCCATTTTGCAATTGAGAACAAAGCGATTACGAAACTAACTGTTTCAATCGTTTCTTACATTCATTGCAAAGCCTACTAAATTAAAAAATTGTTTTTTTTTTTAAAGTGGTTTTAGAGGATATGAGTTTTTGTGTGGGAAGGTTTTTTCTTGGACAGTCCTTATTATAAATATTATAACAACATAGAATTCTCTTAGATTAGTATACTTTTTTTGAAATATTTTTACTTTGAATAATCGTCAAATATGTTAAGATTCTTTAGATAATTTCTCTTTGTTGATATTTTTAATAACTCTCTGTTTCATAAATCAACTTGCAATTTTATATAAATCAATTAATTTTTTTATAAATTCGCGTAAAATCGTAAATTCTGAAGATCTCCGATATTTTTTCAATAACACTAGTTTACAAATTTTTAATAATTTTTGATGCAAGAAAAAGAAACAACTTTTTCGACCATATTTTGAGGCTCTAAGTTCTGCCCTCGAAAAAATTTTATCGGTCAAATTTTTAATATAGCATATCAATTTTAAAATGTACAATAGCATGTCTTTTCAAATTGGAGTGCAACACATGATGTGTAAGACGAATGTTCTACTAGGATTTGATGATAATTGAGAAATGTTACAAAATTATTACTGAATTTTGATAATAAATTTAATTTATGACTTTGAATCGTGAAACCGATTCAAAAAATGCTTTCTTTTGTATCTTAAAAATCTGACCTAATAGAAATAGAATTTTAATCCCGCGTCTATAAACAGTCTTTATATGCTCTTATAACTAGCGTAATTAAAATTTTCGATTAGCACAACATACCAGAGGTAAACTTATCTTTACAACAAACTGGAGTTTGTACTAATATTAAAAAGCATATGCATGAAATTAGGCGTTAGCAAGTAGGTCGTTGCAATATCTGAGAGATATTTTCGCGACTCAACCGTTGCGTCAAGTTATAATGCAACATCCCATTTCAAGAAAGCCTATAGTGAGGAGCGTGCGTAAAATTGGCTGCAAGCGTGACAATTGCATCTAGCGAGTGAGAAACTTGCCATGAATATTATGCTCGTAGTTCATAGAAATTCCTCATCGTTGGCCAATACCTCTGAGAGTATCGTTGCGTAGGTATGTTACATGGCCGCGAAAATAGGTTTTCAGGACGTAAACACACGGGTTTACCTCGAAGCTGCTATTTTGACGCAATTACCTTCTTATTTGACATACTTAATGGAAAATTTATACCATGTTGACTCCCAGTAATTAAATTTATTGCAGTCTTGTACACGCGCGATAGCTGTAGTATCTCGAAAGTTGTACAATTTGTTCAATTTATGTTCTAAGATTCGTAAATCGCGTAAAATATCGAAAATCGACGACACAGAGAGATCGATTGTGGGAGAAGAAGATTGAAGTTATATAAACGCGCCGTGTACAAGTAGCACAAGAAAGAAGAAAAAAAAAACAATTGCATCGTTATGTAATTTGCGGCTAATTGCAAAATGGAAAGTTTTTAGAATAATCTCGCGATGCTGTTGACTGGACGCATCATTGCGCCGGTTAAACGTTAACGCAAGCCGACGCTGGGCGCCGTACGAAAGTGAAAGTCCTCGCTTCTTCTTTTCGCGATCCGTCAGGAAATGATCGAGCATCTAATAATCATTCTTCTCGAAGCGAGGAGAACCATTGAGATCGGGGAAATCAGCTTTATGTATGGTAATAAACGTAGAGAGCGAAGTGATTACTGTCTAAAAAACTTTTGTCAAAAATTGATAAAATAATAGTGTATTTTAGCGTTATCATTGTCAAGAATATCGAGACAAACCAATTGCGATTGAGTTTCTTTATTTTTTTGTTGTTTTTCTGTCTTGAAGAAACAAAAAAATTAAACGTATCGCTCAACTCTACGTCTCCTGCGCATGAAAGCGGAAATGCTTCCAAAGATTCATACCCGACCGGTGACGACAAAAATTTGGGCGCTTTCTACTCGCGGGATGCGTACCAGCTTGAATCTTATCGACTCTCGTAGAAAACTGGGCAGTGGCGATTCGAGCGACCTCGTAACCCAGTTTGCTGGTATAGCTACGAAAAATTGCTTCTCGTTGTCGTCTTTGAGCACTCATCTACTTTTCCTTCTTTCTTTTCCGGCTGTTTCGCCATTGAGACATCTGTATTGAATACGGAATCGAGTCTGGCCCGATTTGCCATTGTGCATGCAATCTTCTTCAATAAAATCATTCACTTTCGCGGTCAAGTTTGAAAACTTCTCATTCACGGGATCACGCATCGCGCGACTATAGGTCTGTTCTTTTGATTTGAACTTAACGTAAGGAGAAAAAGAGGAAAAATGAACTGTGTAAAAGATTAAAAGGATATTAGGCCTTATATGAAAAAAGTGCACATCTTCATGTAAAATAAAGCTAAGGATTGTATATTATAATTCGGTGAAAGTTTATTAGAAAAATGAACAAATATATTAAAATTTTTTAAATTTTATTTATAATTTAATTTTATAATCGATATTTCATAATCGACTTAATAAATTTACTCACTTTTGTAATTTTCATCAAGTTATGTGATACGTATGAATTAAACTCTTAGACACAACGAATTTATTTATCGAATTCAAGAAAATTAACTGAAAATAACGCGAAAGAATCATATTTTGTAAACTAGCACTTTATTGTTGATGTTTCTCATTGTATGAGAAATCCCATCGGCCGTTTAAATTTTTCACCGTTCACAATAATCGAAACTTTAAAATCTATTAAAGTGAATGGATCGACAGCAGACAACAAATTATAACTATCGTCATTTAATGAAGGAAGAGGCATTTAAAGACTCACGATCCGATTAAGAGAAATTTATTTCATTTATAATGTACCCTTTGGGATCCAGAGTTAGGGGGAGAGTATCTTGAGAATGGGAACGCAACGATAGAAAGAAGAATAACGGTGATGTTAGTATAAATACTTCTTTATTGGTACTCGAGCCAGAACTGTACGCACGTACGAATCCATCCTACTTGCTATATCTTTTGCACAAAACAGCGTGTAGTCTGATATGCAGCGGTGCACATTAAGATGCACGCGATGTGAGTATATCAGAACTTCGCGCTCGTCCTCTGGGGCGTGCCTACTTCATGAGAAACGTGTTTTTAACGGACGACTGACCCATATAATGTCGTTGAATAAATTTCGAGATGGAGAAGATGGAGAGAAAAAAAAAACGACGAATCTGATATCCCGTCGCACCATGTAGATACCGGTAGATACATTCGGCTCCGGCGTTAAGCTCGTACACCGAGAGAGATTGTATTGAGCACCTGTTACAGTGGAAAGAATACCGTTAGGACGTCGTCGTGTCAGCGGCAGGTACCACGGCACAACGGGCGTACGTATCTCGACTGGCTCCAGGGCTATGTACGGTCACAAAAATCAGCCGATTGCCGATATTGGCAGCCAGACTTTGTATGAAAGCTGTTCGTCCGCGGTATCGATAAACCTGTATATGTATGCAGATAAAAAAAATTCAAATATCCCATGCAATTGACGTATGACTAGCAACATCGATTCCTTCATTATGAACTATGAAAGTAATTAGCTAACGATGCCAAAATAATGGTCTGAAATCGTGCGCGCCATTAGGCATACAATGATTGTTTGACTCTTTCAAATTATTAAATGTTGCGTAACTTTTGAGTATAATTTTTTAGTCTCCAATAATCTCTAAATTAAATTAAAAATTGATTCAATTGTCACGAACCCATTTGTGGTTTCATGGTAAACCTTCCTCCTCGAGCGGTTCAGCATGCGTTAAGGGGGATCGGTCGCTGTGACAATACAAATAATAAAGTGGAAGGAAAATACTGTTTATGTTATTCGATAAGGCGTACTGCTGAGTCTCCCCAGGGAAGATATCGCTGAAACATGTCCGAACCATGTGTCCATTTTCGAAGCTATCGTATGTGCGCGTTGAAGCTATATATATTGATCACCCGCCTGCGAAGATTTATTCATACAAACAAGATCTCCTCATTCTCCAATTCACTATTCTGCTATCAGAGCAATAATCCGCTGTTAATTTCGAATTTCAGGAATTTGGCGAATTTTAACCATCCTATTCATGAATGTCGGAGTCATTATAACAAATTCGCATTAGTGGAGTAAAAATGAAATGCAAATATTTATTATAAAATACATATTATAGAATACATATTTTACCCGATAGTATAATTCGTATTAAAGATTTCGCGGTTTAATCAATTTCTACATTTATATTAAATATACATTATTTCGTTAATTCGCGCTATGACCACTTTAATGTGCACCATAGTACATCCAATCGAATTCGTTATAATATTCGACTGTAATCGAAGTTACACGACTCTACGTGATTTTTATGCAAAGAAAAAGATAATTTGCTTATTTAATCTTCAACTACATCTTATGAAAACTATACTTTAAGTTTTAACCTACATCTTGCGTTTTGTTCGAATTATAGAATGAACAAGTGAAGCTCCGTCTTATGATTAATAGAGGAAGTTTTTTTACCTACAATTTAGAACCTCATAGTATCAATTATACAAATTGTACACTTGTCTAAAAGTTTTTACTTTAGAGTCGAAATGACCGTTGCTGTATTCGAGGATATTGAATAAATCGATGATTATATTTCTAGATTCGGATAATCAAGAAGCGCGACACGCAGATACGCATCCTCCTTCCGTCATATTTATGTTTCGAATGATTAGAGAGGACGCGACAGATGCTGGACCGCGATAATCAACACCTGATTTTTTTTCACTGTCCCACCGTGTGAACGGCGCCTCGTTTGCTCCTACCAGAAATCCTTGCGGTTTAAAGCGACGTGACATACTTAACTGCCTTCGCACATCTTATAGTCACGATTCGCCTCTGCATCGTCTTACATGACGTAGCTGCGTTTCGCGCGAAACTGTTTTAATGCTGCTTAGATGTGGTCGGAGATTAGATGTCAGCTTATCGCTTCTCAGCGATGCTAATCAATTACGATCTCATCGACGTTTTATTGTATACGAATTTTTAGTATCTTATTATATACCGTTATAGGTGCACATCGTTTCTAAAGTCGCCGATATTATTATAATAAATAAAAACTGCACCGTTGATCAAACGCTTCATAAAACGTATCTATTCGCACGGTGTGATAAAAGTTATAATAGATGATCATAAATTATAATTCTAACTCATCGACATGATCGAAAGCATTTATAAAATTCTCAGAGAGGACACTCGTGATGGATTTCATCCTGCGATTCTTACCTAATATATTCCGCCTCTGTATTTTACTGCAAATCGTTGCGCAAAGAAGTCCTTCTTCGAAGAGGAGAGTTTCCATGCGCATCCGAGAGAAGGCGGGAGGCGAGAGCGCCGCTCCGTGTCGTCGTTGTTTACGGCAACGGGTAATGACAGTTATGCTGATGATGATGATGATGATGATGAGACGTTGCCTTGACGACGACGACGACGACGACGACGACGAGGACGACGACGACCGGCAGCGCATAAATTCGTGAGTCGACCTCGTGGGAGGCCGTCGTACGTATGGAATAAAGTTCCGCATTCTCGGCCCACAACCCGAGGCATCTCTCAGCCTCTTCATGTCTTTCGGAGTCTCACATCGGTGTTCTCTCCTCTCCTTCTACGTCCTTTTAGCCCGCTACTGCTCTTTAAATCTTTCTTGACCTCATCGAGATGCCAAATTCCGCGAGAATTACCGCCGGCCAAGATTAAGAGGGCCAAGCTGATTGTAGACACTACTTGATTTTTATCCGTTTATCGTTTTACAAAACAAAACAAAAGCAAAAAGCGAAAGACTGTTATTAAA